GTCCAGAGCCCAGAGCACTCAGCGCTCACACAGGGCCCTGTGCTGGATCTGTCCAGAGCCCAGAGCACTCAGCGCTCACACAGGCCCCTGTGCTGGATCTGTCCCAGAGCAGCCCTGAGCCCGGAGCACTCAGCGCTCACACGGGGCCCTGTGCTGGATCAGTCCAGAGCCCAGAGCACTCAGCGCTCACACGGGGCCCTGTGCTGGATCTGTCCAGAGCCCAGAGCACTCAGCGCTCACACGGGGCGTGTTTATAAGAGCGCCCCCTTGTGAGCTTACACGTCAAGACATCAAGGAACACTTCGTACTGTCAACATTGAAACAATTCTTCTTGACAGCCTGTGTGTCTCCTCTCAGAGTCAGATTGTGTGTGTGTCTCCTCTCAGAGTCAGACTGTGTGTGTGTCTCCTCTCAGAGTCAGACTGTGTGATGGGGACAGTTCCGAGATCAGAGCACTAACAGACTGTGTGTCTCCTCTCAGAGTCGGGGTCAGTGCGCCTGGAGCACAGCGCGGGACGTCTGTCCAGTTCTCTGCTAGCTGTGGTCACTCTGGCTCTGACTCTCTTGGCCTCAACATAAACGAGAGAGGGTGAGTGGGCTCGAGTGGGACAGTTCCCCGAGCAGTACTGAGAGGTCGTGCTCCCAGGTGTGTGTCTCAGGTCTGGTGTGTTCTGTGTTCCAGGAGCAGGTCTCAGGCGTGTCCTCTCCAGGACCTGTGTGACATTACCACTTCACTGCCTGCCCCCCTGCCTGAACACCTGCAGAGCCATCAACTCTCATCTGCAGCACAGCAAGCCCTACAGGACTCTGTACTGTGAGCCCTATAGGACTCTGTATGTACTGTGGGCCCTATAGGACTCTGTATGTACTGTGAGCCCTATAGGAGTCTACTATTGGTCCTGTAGGGCTCTTTCCTTTGGCCCTATAGGACTCCTTACGGTTTATCCTATAGGATTCTGTATTGTAGGCCTTATAGAACTCCATGCTGTTCACCCTGAAGGACTCTGTAGTGTGTGCCCTGTTGGGCAATATACCTCTGTTGTGTCAGCAGGGAGGAGAGCTACTGTGCTTTGAGTAAAACCACACTACACTCATTTAGTGATTTCACCTTGTGTGTCTTTACCATTCAGGCCTTGCTACAACAATAGGTGTTTGTAAGTCACACCTGCAGATAATGCAACCGCTAAGCATATATACTTACAGAAAAAGCTATTGAAAATCCAGCCTGTGGCTCTTATCAGTTGATTCTTTGCTAATTTGTACCCACGCTAGCTGTGTACACCTGTGTAACCTTACAGTGTTAGTTGGGTGCAGCAGGGTGTCAGGTTTGTAATCTCCGAGCGCTCCTGACACTGCCCTGCTCATGCCCGCAGGCAGCTGTGATTGCTGACGGCATCCAAAACAACGAATAAACATGTTTGATGACAAGCAAGTGTTGTCTTTCTTTTCTTGCTCTCAGTGAACACTCAGGCCCTGAACACAGGAGCTTCTCCTCGAAGCAACAGCAGGACCTCATTCAGAATACTGTGTTCAGAAGAGAGGGAGTTATCCTGGACTCAGGGCTGTCAGGTACAGTGTCAGGGTTAGAATACTGTGCTCAGAGCTGGTCAGCTCCCCACAGGGAGAGAGAAGAGAGAGAGACTTGTTTCCTGGGCTCAGACGGGGCTGTGGAGCTGAATCTCCTCAGTCCAGGACAAGGGCGTCTGAGAGACCGGAGCGCGTCCGAGGAGAGACAGACAGGGGGTCACCCCGGGGGTCTATTCCACATTCACTAGAGGACAAGGACTCAGGGTCACAATTTGAAAGCATGATGGGATACATTTAGAAGGGAGAATAGGGAACTACCTTTACAGCAAGAGTTGTGGGTGTCCGAAAGTCGTTGAGGCATAAACTCTGAGCTCCTTCATGAAACAGGTGATCAAACAATTTCAACTCGTGCAGCTCCTAAGCCACCAGCCGAGCAAGACAGACTCCTCCTGCCCGGGTCTGCTCGTTAGCTCTAATGCTGCTCATCGTTCCTCTTCAGTGAACTTCCACCTGATGTTTTTATAATACTGCTGTCTCTCAGAGAACTGCTTTAGTGTTGAAGGAACGACAGGCACAATCTTTATGTTCTGTCAAGTACGATTCGCCCAGATCCAGACACAACCCCTCCTCACCCTCCCTCAGTGCCCCTAACTGGGTACCCCCTCACATCAAACACTGGGTTTCATTCCCAGGCCGCACCAGGCTGACCCAGCAGAACTGCTCACTCCCAGAGAGCCCAGCCAGGCTGGGGGCTGAAATGTGGAGTCTCTGGCCGGCTCAGTCGTCAGTCTTTGTGCAGTGGCGTTCCAGTCTAACGCTGCCGACCCATGTCTCTGCTGAACACGGATCACAATCCCATGGGGATTGTGCGGAGTCGGCACCAGGCAGCGTTGGGCTGTGCGGCCAGTCTGGACCCAGCAGAAGCCCATAACCTCAGACTGGTACCATGACGCCAGTGATCCGAACAGATCTACTGGTGTTAGAGCCCTTTCACGGGCCACTCTAGAAGATGCCAGCATTTCGAGGGACAGACTCCTGAGCCCCAGAGGCTCGAACCCAGGACCCCTGGAGCTGGGAGGCAGCAGAGCCCATGCTGCCGTGCCACCCCACATGGAAAAACAAATCAGAAAAACAAAATGACAAACCAGCACCCTCAATCAACAGCAATAACAGGCTCATGGCTTGACGGGGGGGGTGAGGCAACGAACCAGGACCCCCGAAAGAGTTTCGCCAGCAGCCCTCGGCTCAGGCCGCTGGGTCTGTCTCGTCCACTGAGGCCAGAGAGGGAGACAACTGGGGAGGAAGGCTCCCATGAGCCTCTCCACGCCCACTGTGTGTCACCGCCGAGCTCATGGGCGTGGGAACGGCGGGAGAGCACGTCACTGCGGGGAAATCAGTGCTCCCAGTCGCCCCGGCTCCATTGCACAACCAGAGCAAACAGCGCGCTCTTGGAGCGGAGCTTTCTGGATCAGTCAGCAGGGCTGGGCAGCCTTATCGCCGGCTTGCTTTGGAGCAAAGTCACTGGGGACGTTCGGGACTCAGCCACGATGGAGGGCCGCCGCGCGGGAGCCCTGCTCTTCATCGCCGCCACCTTCGCCAAAGGTAACTCCTCTCTCCCGATTCCTTCCCCCCGCCGAGGGCTCGGGGGGCCGAAGGCTCTGCTCCACCTCGGGGATCGGCCCCCCGATCCCGAGCCCTCGAGCGGCCCTGCAGAAAAGGGCCCGGCGTACCCCAGCGTTCTCCGCACTGACGTTCTTTCAACGCTGGCATGTTTGAAGAGGGTCTGACGAAGGAGTGAGCTCGTATAAACTACGAGACTGAACCCCCTCTGTATCGATGCACTGTGTCTGACAACACGCCTGGCCTTACTGCCTGTGTGCTGTTGTCTAATAGCTGATCAATAATGATCGATATTCTCTGTGGTGCGTACGGGACAGCTGATGGGCGCGGGCTGGCGTACCGGACAGCCCAACCCTCTAGAGCAGGGGTGCCCACCCAGTCGATCGCCGAGTGCTTGCCAGTCGATCGCAAGAATGTTTGGCAAAAAATAAATGGGCTATTTGACTCCTTTTTTTTGAAAGCCTAAAAATTCATTCAGATCTGTGCATGTAATGTCATACAGTTTTCTGCCCTCGGTGTGTTTAACCCTTGTGGAATGGGCTGTAGGGGTCTCGTCCCCTCGTGCTGGCTGGCACTGGGAGCTCCATGAGTACAGGGTGTTGTGTGTGCGCGCTGCCCCAGAACGGTCTCTTGGTTTCGCGCCCAGTGGAGCCACACAGACTGGCCGTGACAAATCCGCCAGCAGCTCGATAAGTTTGACTGCCTCTTCGATAGTTGTCGTGTTTGAGCGAAAATGATGAAGCAAAGAGACAGAAAACTTACTGTTAGCACAAGGAAGGGGAGCAGGATTAATTGTGTGTACTTTCACATTCAAATCTGCAATGCTGGTGTCAACGCGAAAAAGGGAAATAGAACAACATTTCAAAACTGCACACAAAATGTGTGATGTGGACTTTCCCACTAAAAGTCAGTTACAGAAAAGAAAAGTGGACAAATTAAAATCTCATCAAGCAGCAGGAGGTTTTCACGAGGCCTAACACACGAGGAAAAGTAGCAATCGTCTCATCGCTCCGCGTGAGCCACCTCCTGGCTCAACACAACAAGTCATTCAGGGATCCAGAAGTGAAAAAAAGTGTTTGCCGAGGCTGCTGACTTGCTGGTTGGACATTTCAAAAACAGACATGTTTGGCGAGGTTCAGACAGCTGTTGCCTGAAATCAGAGTTTCTCCAGGCGTCTAAACACGGTGAATATGCTCGATCAGAGGATGACCAGTGGCTTCTGGGTTGAGCCTTCCTCACAGACCTGGCTGAACTGCTGATGAGCTGAATGTCGAGCTGCAGGGACACAATAAAACTGTCATCGACATCATCAGCAGTGTCAATACGTTCAAAAACAATGCCAAGTGTTCTCCAGTCAGCTCCTCAGTGCCAAGGCCCACATGAAAAACCTTATGGAAAAAAACCAGGAAAAGATCCCGGACGTTTTCAGGTAGTTTAGCAACCCAAGTAGTTCTGTACATATTTGTATACTGTGTATGTACAGACACATGCATACTGTACAGTGTGTACCTGCACACGCACAAACAAGGACAATTCGAGACTCCTTTTAACCCTGCCAGCTCCTCGTCTCTGGGAATCTGGAGCAACCTGACAAACGGAGAGACTCCACGCAGACTGACTCCCTCATTCGCAACTAAACACAGCAGACAAACCCACACAAACACGGAGGGAACATGCAGACTTCCCACAGACTGACTACCTCATTCGCA